TAATGGCTTAGATGTTGTTTTTTGTAAGCATGCACTGGTTCTTGAGAGATCTGCCTTGTAATGGCTTAGATGTTTTAGCATTTAGTTAGATATGTGTTCGGAACACATTTTAAAGATTAAGATTTTAAAATAATTCTTTTGTTTCTCTGAACGAACACACCTCGCAAAATTCATAGTCATCTTATCCTCTTTTTAAAAAAAAAATAAATATATATAAACGTCTCTGCTCATCTTGTATCAATGAAAACATTGATATTATAACTACCCCAAACTTGTATTACTTTTTAAATAAACTTTCCTTATAAAACTGATCTGTTGGATGAAGAAATAATGAAAATTAAATCGTTTCAAGGAGAAGTCGAGGACTACGACACGAGACAAACTATTATAACGGAAATTAAATAAACACTAAACACTACAAAGAGGATGGATTTTGGAATATTTAAAAAAAAAATGGAACATGAAGCGTAATTTCTCAGCATGCCAAGATCTTTGTGAATGACTTTGAGTGTTGACATTTACAAACTGATCTACAATTATTCTGATAATGAACTTTGTGACATTTTATGTATGATCCACAATGATTTTCATAAGGATATTTTTACACTTTATTTATGATCCACATTGATTTTCATAAGGATATTTTTGACACTTTATGTATGATCCACAATGATTTTCATAAGGATATTTTTGACACTTTATGTATGATCTACAATGATTTTCATAAGGATATTTTTGACACTTTATGTATGATCCACAATGATTTTCATAAGGATATTTTGACACTTTATGCATGATCTACAATGATTTTCATAAGAATATTTTAACACTTTATGTATGATCCACAATGATGTTTATAAGGATATTTTTGACACTTTATGTATGATCCACAATGATTTTCATAAGGATATTTTTGACACTTTATGTATGATCTGCAATGATTTTCATAAGGATATTTTTGAATTTTTTTTTATGATCTACAACAGGTGTGGGCAAACTTTTTTGCGGAGGGCCACATTAACAAATGTTAAGCAATTGTGGGCCGCGTGTATATCATGGGGCCACATTAACAAATGTTAAGCAATTGTGGGCCGCGTGTATATCATGGGGCCACATTAACAAATGTTAAGCAATTGTGGGCCGCATGTATATCATGGGGCCACATTAACAAATGTTAAGCAATTGTGGGCCGCATGTATATCATGGGGCCACATTAACAAATGTTAAGCAATTGTGGGCCGCATGTATATCATGGGGCCACATTAACAAATGTTAAGCAATTGTGGGCCGCGTGTATATCATGGGGCCACATTAACAAATGTTAAGCAATTGTGGGCCGCGTGTATATCATGTTGCATTTTGACACGTCGATGCAGATTTCTATAGATTAAAATCGGTAAATTTGCATTTGAGCATGACAGGACAAAATTCAAGGACTGTGTAAAGAATACAAAATTAGAGATACATTTGATCCAAAATGTTTAAAACAATCATAGCTGTACATGAAATTTTGTAAAATTAAACAAAATAACTTAAAAACAAGGTCATTTTTAAATTATTACTAAATGCCTTAGACCGCCGCATGATATCAGTTGCCGGGCCACATGTGGCCTGCGGGCCGTAGTTTGCCAAACCAGATCTATAATGATGCTCATTAGAATATTTTTGACATTGTATGTGTGATCCACAATGATTCTCACAAGAATATTTTTGACATTGTATGTGTGATCCACAATGATTCTCACAAGAATATTTTTGACATTGTATGTGTGATCCACAATGATTCTCATAAGAATATTTTTGACATTGTATGCATTTTTGTAATTTACTTTTTAAATGATTTTTTTTTATACTTTAAAAAAAAATAAATTAAAACTGTATATTTCATTAAGTCCATAACCTAAAACTAAATCCTTCGGTTAAACACCTATTTGACCCAAAGGCCCATAACCATTGCCTCTTACCCGACGATCTAGCGAGGAACAATTACATGATATTTACATTGTAAAAAAAAAAGGCCAAATATTTTCATAAATTTAACATTTTAGATCTTAGCTAATTAAAAAGCTCATACAATACCTAGAGCTAAAATTCTTTTAACTTAATGTCGGGAAAATATGTTTAACAAAATTAAAATACGCTAAAATTTTTAATCTGGGAAGAGCACCATTTTTCCAAACATTGAATGTCTTGATAACATGTAGCTTACTAGTGTATACAAAGAATGCTTCTAAAACAGAAGCAAGTGATTGCTCTGAAAATGTACTGCTATGTTAATGGAATAGTTTCCTTACCATTAGTTCCATTCAGGAAATCGACATAGATTTTTGTGTGAAATGTTATAAATATAATAACGCATCTTTCATATAGATTAGGCTTCTGGTGTGACTGCTTCCATTTCCGCCTGCTTCCTAACATGCCGGCTGCTTCCTATTTAGCGTATTTTGTACCTAGATTATTTTCGTAGCTTTGCTAGATGCTTTGTATATTATGACGTATATTTGGGTATGGGGAATGGCATTGCCACAATGACATAGAGTGGTAGATTTCGTGGCATATTAAATACCCCCCCTCTTTTTTCCCCATTTTTCACATTAAACTTGCCCCCCTCCCCCTGAACAACTACTAACATCAATGGATCGTAACGAAAAAAGTTTTCAGAATGTAAACAGGAAATTTAGACTAAAAAAAAATTATGTTTTGAAAAAAAACGTTAATTTGTATTGGGCCAGAAATCCGTGATCCGATGCGTGATACTTTATCTAGAACCAATGTGAACCCAAATCAATTTGCCGCTTGGGATGCATGTACGCTGGGGGTGTTAGACTTTCTTCTGAATCCCCGAGCTCATAAGTTGTTCATAATTGGCAACAGTCTATCAGCCTACAAGTGGCTGGGCTCTTGATGTCATTAAACTAATGAGAGAACTAATAAGTCCCCGATTTGGCTAAAAGAACTCACTGAATGGCTGTTGGAAATAATTTATTATAAATGTCTTGTGTTCAAATTGTTTTATTTATGTGCTGAAAATGTGTAATACAATCAAAAAGCATTTCCATTTATTTGGATCAATAAAAGAATCTTATCTTATCTTATCTTAAAATTCATTTCTCACATTCTCATCTGGTCATCTTACCACCAAATGCGGTTGATGAACGTGATAAGCGTGTTGAGATATTTCACCAATGAAAACAAGGTTGTCAAGGCGATCACAGTTCCAACATGAGAGTTGATCACATCTACGTTATTTAGCTTTAGCAGGCAACTGCGGACTGTCGCCATACACAAGTCACAGTGAGCACCTAAAGCAAATTTCAATTCATATAGAGGTAAGCTGAAAACGAAATTAAGAAATGTATGCTTCTATCTGAGTAAGATAAATTTGTTTATATTAGATTTAAAACCTTGTCATTAATAATCTCTTTCTAAAAGTTCACTGTATTGTTGAAAAGAATTAAGTAGTTCTTTATTCAAACTTTATTTCTGTACTTTTTAAAAACATTAAATGAAGAAATATAAAAATTCTCATTGCAACATTTGTTCATTGTTTATTTTTATTTCAGGTACCGCTAATAAAGAATATGAATTCTGTTATGACTACTCTGAGTAGTGTTACACAGTTATAAGCAAATACCAATTATGTTTTTTTATTGGCATAATGCACCCTTTAGATTTCACATTCAGGCTGTGTAATTTAAGATTCTGACTTGCTACACAAAATCTATCTTTAGATTTGTTATGTAATCAGCTCATTGAAGTTACAATAATGTATCTGACAGATGCCCAGTAGCAGGTACATAGTTTTGTTGTGTGACACATGCCAAGTAGCAGGCACAACTTTTTATTGCTGTCCTGTGTTATAGTTAGTCAAACGTCAGCACCTTCATAAATGATGAAATAAACCCAACAGTCAAATAAATCAGTATATTTGTTTTCATTGGACCTGATTTAAAGACTTCTTGTAGACCACCCTCCACCAAATACAAGGATACATTTTTGGCAATGCATCAACAAGCCTTTCAATTAACGTCTAAATTGTAGGGTACATTTAGAAATTATCCTTTTGAATTTTAACTCATTGTGTTGTTCCATTTCTTCAACTTTGTCTTTCGATCAATATCATTTCTTTTAAATCGACCACTGAACTAGTTTACTAACATCCTTCATTACCACAATGGATCTATCCCACCAGTCTGGGATTTACATCTTAAGAGATTTATGAGAATAAAGACAACAAACTAGAGAAGGTCAAGAAATATTGAGCAATAAAAAGTTAAACAGTTTTAAACTTAATGCATTGCATGTGTTGCATTGCATGTGTTGGGTTCTTTATCAAATGAACGTTGAGTTCAGCGATACATTCGCACAATGAAAATTTAGAATTCTGTGGTCTTTTTTTTTATCAAATACTGTTAGGAACCATACTATTGTTAATGTTTCCTCAAAGGCAGATACTAACCACACCGATGTAACAATGTATGGTCTAATATTTGGCATTCAACCCTATAAGAAATGACGCATCAAGAAATGGTCCATCAATTGCCCCCCCCTCACAAAACATAACTCTAGCACTGCGCCCACTCACTATTTACCTGTTTCATATGAGTAACATCGAACCTTCAGGGGCAGAACTGACACCAGCCAGTGAGAAAAAATCTTCCAAATCTTTCATTCTCAAAATAAATTTCAGAATTTTAAACAATAAACCTTTATAGCAGAATTTAAATGTTATTCAATACTAATAATAATTTTTTTTTAAAAATTAGATTATCACTCAAATAATTCTCATGCTACCCTTTTATTGCCATATCTTTTATCCGCCGCTGAAAAATATTACTCACATCTCTGCCCACGTGCCAACATCTCCAGGCGATCCCAGATGAATGATTCACTGTCCTAGAATGCCAAGGTAAAAATAGATGAGTTCACACCTAGGCCCAGGCTTGAGCGAGATGGGTGAGCTGAGGGTATATTAACCGGGTAAGCCCACGGATCTCTTCACAACAGTCACAAAGTTCCAGTGAGCTCGTTTTCAAATAAGCGATAGAATTTCCTGTAGCGCTGCCAGTACCATCGGTGTTCTAAGAGTTCTCAAAGTGTTGTTACGTTCCTAGCTTTTGCCTTAGAGGTTCTCAAGCTTTGGCTAAGCTATTATATACTGTTTATTCTTATCAATTTAATTTTTTTTTAAATTAACAAGATGGCCATGTGTTGTGCTGCTGCTGGTCTGCCGTCGACCTGTTCTTGTGGACGTATTGTCATCGACCCCGGGTATGAGTAAGTAAATAACAGTTAAATATCTTTTAATTATTATTTTTATTGTTTTACATTATTAAGGCTTGAAAATACTTATTTTATCGAAAAAATAATTAAAATAATATACATACATATATATATATATACATATATATACATGTATATCATTTTAATTATATGTATATATATAATACTTAAATACCGTAAAAACCCTGATACAGTGAGACTTGAACTTGCGGAAGACGAGGAAAAACCGTTTATTTAATGTAACATTTCCTCGAGCTCAACTTCTTAACTTTCTGTTCATTTGATCGACAGAGATGAAGCTGTAGCTATTTTTAGCAAATACCAGACCAGCTCGGCTAGACGCCTCAAGAAAACGGAAGCCCTGCAAATGTTCATGAATGAGTTCGGTTTGAACGAAATCGAGGCTCAGATTTTCTTCCAATGGTTCGACAAGGATGAGAACGAAGTGATGAGTCTGTGGGAGTTCCGTCAGTTCTACCAGACGATTGGAAATAAGTGAGTTTGATATCTTGGCTGGAGGAGATCTTAGAGATTTTCTGGGACTTTCCAATGCCACCACCCGTGCAGTCTATTGTTTTCAGTGTTTGTAAATATTAAGGGACATGAAAACCAAATACTTAACACAATAATAAATAATTATTTTTTTCAAGATTGAAATTGGTAAATTCTTTGTTTTTTAATCAACAACAAACAATTGAACAAGACACAAATATATAAATAAAAAAACACGTGAAATACCGATACATTTATATATAAAATTATAAGTTAAGGTAAAATTCCACTTCTTTAATTCAAATAAATCACAGAAAAGGCAGAAAAGAAATTAAGTTTTAACAGGCTAAATAATTTGTTCAATACGTCTTGAACAAAGGGACATAATCAATAAAACAATATTTACAAGTGGGCTATCGTTATTGTCGTAAATTGTTAATTAATTTTTATTTTTTAAAATTGTTTTAACTAGTTTGTGATTATGTTTGTATCTCTAAATATTATTTATTTATTAATTCAAATTATATGACCATCTTCTGGGATGATTGTCTACCTTATTTTCCATGTGTTGCTGTGTTGCTCCGGGTTGAAATGGCTAGAAAGACTTTGATATTGTATGCTTGTAATTAGTTTTTGTAGTGTTGTGTTTGTTTTAAATGTGGTGAATTATAGATATGTTTTTTGTTGACTTTGTACCGCGCTTCGAGCCTTTGGGGATGAAGCGTGTTTTTTAAAATTTAATATATTCAGGTGTAAGAAACAGATTTAACGTGTTCATTTAATGAACTTTATTACTATTATTATTATGTAGTAGATTGTAATATTTTAAATGATTCATTTATTTAACTTAAACTAATTTTTTCCCCCAGGGCTCATGATATGCTTGCATTGTTTTACCAGCTGGAGGAGCCCGGTACCGGCCACGTTGACATTGAGAGAACCTTCGACGCGCTGAAACACGTCGACAGCGGCAAGGGCAAGCTGACCGAGGACGAGATCGTCATGTTTCTCACCACCACCGCGGGCTACGACAAGACGATCGACCTCCACAAGTTTCTCAACATGATGAGCAGAATCAACATCTACACAGGGACCGTGTAAACAAGACCATGTTGATACGTTGCTCCGTTGATTGCAACTTGACGTCCATGATGAGACCATCTCCTGTCTGTTAAGAGAAGTTTCTGTCTGTGATAAGACAGGTCTGCATATGCTTCAAAGACAATGAGTTACTATTTTTTGTGATTGTAAAATGTATCATAGCATCTTAATTTATGAAATATTTGTCATAGCATCTCAATTTCTGAAATATTTCTCAAAGCATCTCAAAGTCTGAAATATATGTCTTCTCCCAAAATATTTCTACCTCAAAACATAAACTTTTCAGGTATAAAACACATGGTATTGTAATGGCAATCTGATATATTTTTTAAATAGTTATTGATTTAGTCAATGTGTACAAATTAAGGTAACACACGTGTACAAATTCAGGTGCAAGAAACAGATTTAACGTGTTCAACCTGGTTTAACATTTAAATCTTAGATAATCATTTAACAAATTTAATTTATTTTCCTCCAAAATTAAGACAAAAACTTTTGTTTTCAAATCATCCAACTCAAATTATTTTAAACTCATTATTTTCTGCCATTTAACGCAAGATGCGATGATAAATAATGTTCAGTGCTTTGTTGTTGTATTCAGATGTAACATTTGAATATTCCAGTTTATTTTATTATGTATTTATGACCCCTCAAAAAAAACAACAACACAACTTCTTATGGTTTGTTCCATAGACTTGTATTTCCACTTTACATGTGCTCAACATTCCATTTTCATGAATTCCCCATGCTTTTAACATTTTTTTGAAAAAAAATGATGCCAGTACAAATAGTGATGACATTCATGAATATCTAATGGTAATGACACTCATTATTAACTAATAGTGATGAAATTGATGATTCACCGACTCAGTGTTTCACAGATTAAATTAAAACGAATCTCAATTGAAATCGTACAACTGAAAAAGGACATGAATAAATTTTTAAATTTTTTACTACAGTATTTGTGTTCTCTGTCTTTAAAAACGAATGCATTTATCGTTTGAAATGATGATCTCCATACATTGTAATTATTTTAGTTTTGAAAGGAATTAAGATCTTAATAAATAGATTAACAACATTGTATAATAATTTTCTTTTAAAATTTTACAAACGTTTTGTTGAACTTAGATCGATATTTGATCTTTAATTGTAAATCATGCTTTTTTACGATTTCTACAAATAATAAAACAAAATAATTTTTTTTAATTTCTTGGAAAATTGTATTATTTGGTTGTTGTTAATGTACCTATGTTTTAAATCATCATATCTTAAAATTTTATTTAGTTACTTATTGCATTGTTGATTCCAAATATGACCGCCTTTATTTAATTCAATTGAACCCAATTTTCATATCTCTGGTTAAGACTGGTAATATACAAGGCTAGTTAAAGTTAATTATCTCGATAAAATAAAGTTACATTAATATATCATTTTTAAAACTTCCTATTATATTAAAAAAAATCTAGTTTACAAATGAAAAGAGAGGCAAAAGTAATTAACTAAAACCAACTGACTAAATTCCAGCGAGCTAAGACTAGTTTTGTGTATATGTTTAAGTTTTAATGAAGTTAAAAGGACATCATTTTATGATATTTAAAAAAAAATAATATTAAAAAAAACACACTATATTATACATAAAGAAACATTTTCATAACCTCCTTCTATCACAGTAAAATATAGTATTTGATTTACATTCTATGTGACCAGATTTAACATATCTCGTTCTGAGTAAAATCAAAAAGCAAAACTGAATTCCCAATTAAAATGTAATGTCCACGAATTAGAACTGATAAGACATTTCAAACGGTTAACTGTAAAGTATACCTTTTATTATTGTCAGACGAGACCGGGGTGGTCCATTATAATGGGAACAATTATTATTGCTTGCTGTATATTTGAAGCCCTATGAGATAGTTTGACCCAAGCTCATTCAGCTCACAGATTCAAGACATTAGTCATTCGTTAACGCCTAAACAGTGTTTTTTTGACCCGATTAGTGACGTAAGACAGGTTGGACGAAAAAAAGGACAGATCCAGAGCAAATCCATTTTTTTTCCCTCTAAAGATTGATGGGCCGGCACCACCGACCCTCTTGAGAGTTATTATTATTATTATTGTTATTTAATTTTGGTTGGGAGTGGGTGGGAGGCAAAAAAAACTTGACCTGCCCCACCCGGCTCGCACACCAACTACGCCACTGTTAGTAGAGGATAAAGCAGGTCATCGAAGACATACTCATGTCCACTTGACCCTAACCAGTCGCAAACTTCGTTTATCTTACTATTCGTAACACTACCGTGTTTCAATTTTTCTAGGAAAAAAAAAGGCAAATGCAAGGGTCACTTTATTATGAGTGGGTGGGTCCGGATTAATCAAAATTTTAATGATTCAAGTCATTTATTTTTGTTGTTGTTGACTGCCATAAAATCTTAAAGTAGATCAACAAGACATAAACAGTTCGTCTTAACGTAAAAGTATAGCTACGCTTAGATTAAAAACACAATACACATACATGACGTTTAATGATTTAGCAGTGCAGCCACGACATAAAAAAATGTGTGAATCTAAATATATTTTAAATATTGAATACTGCAGTTGTCTTATTTATTCGGTTCCTGGACGAAGGTTTGCTAAGGGCTTAGGGTGGAACATTTAAGTTCTTCAATAATATGATCATTTCTATGTATATATAATAATGACGTGTCACTGGTACCAGGGACTTAGAGTTAATATTTGATGGGATCATTCAAGAGTTGGTTGAGAAAATATGGGCGCAAATACGTTTTAAATAATAGATTGGAAACATTAATATTAGTCAGTTCATCAGTTTTAGCTTCATCTTGAATAATTGCTATTGAATTTAAAAATTATTACAAATCGTCAAAGTTTAAACGTTTTAAAAAAAAACAAAAAAACAACTGACATTAATATTAGTCAGTTCATCTGTTTTAGTTTCATCTTGAATAATTGCTATTGAATTTAAAAATTATTCAAAAATTGTCAAAGTTTAAACGTTTAAAAAAAAACAAAAAAAAAAAACAATTAACAATGTTGGGAAAGGAATATAAGTTTTTGATACATTTTGCTTTTAGAACTTATCAAACAAATTGACTTAAATTTTAAAAAAATAATTAATCGTAACATCACATTACGTATTTGAAAATAGAAGATCTGAAAGTAAACTAACCATAGACAAACCACGTTTTAAGTTAATTTTCTTGTTGAAAATGCATTATCTTCTATATCTTCTATATCTTAAGGGCCCAAGATCAATGTATTGATAATTTTGGCTCCTATGCATGTAGATGGGATTTGCAATGTTTCTGTTCCTGGTGTCGATGAGGAAATTTCACTGATTTCCAGTGCCACTTTGTGAGGGAATCATGCACTAGGGGTTTTGAAGGCTTGAGGCAATAGATACAAATGTGTCTAGTGTTGTCGCCTCAACCGTTCCTTTTGAAAGATTGTTCCAGTCCCTGATTGTCTTGGGCAGGAATGAGCAGCTCCTATACTGGCTTCTGGCTGGCATGAGCCTGAATTGCCGGTCATGGCCTCGTCGCTGTCTATGGGGGAGAATCTAATTAGAATATTTTGCAAATTCAGCTAATATAATGAAAAAAGTCAAATAATTTTACCGGGACCATTGTTTTAATTCATAACAAAAGAAAATAGAAAAGCAACTAATATTAGTTCACCAAAAATGTATTTAATTACCGAATCCGAAGAAATGAGCCCACCAATATATATATATATATATATATATATATATANTATTTTCCCCACCCCCCTAAAAATCGCTATGTAGAAAGTTTAATACAAGTTTCTGTGCCGAATAGGTAGAATGGATTATCATAATAAGACGAATTTATTTGAGTTACGCATTTTCATATGTTTCCTGTGAATGAAGGTATCGTAGCTATTGAAATTCAATATATTATGCGCTTAAAATACAGCCCTGTACATATTTCTTTGATATTGTTGTTCGTCCGTCGAGGATCGACGATGACCGTCGAGACGTCTGGTGACTGATGACTTGCGCTATTGACTTTTGTTTAAAGTGAGGAAGAGTTGCGCGGAGTCAACCTCACTCTCTCGTCCGGGCCCACCATATCCAGTAGCAAGACTCTACGTCAAGACGACCAGGGATGGGTACGGTTGCAGGTGGTTTTGTGTCGTCTGCTCCCAACAACCATCTTCGTGTGAGGACCACTGCAAATGCCCAGGTAGTCTGCTTCCAACCAAGTTCTTTTCCTAACGGTGCTGGCTCTTGTTAAAAAACAGCATATGATATCTGCTGATAATATTTACACACAAGGATCATTTGGGGTGTCTTTGTTTCTGACTTTGAAACACTGGTTATTAACTGAGAAGCAAGTGAGAGGTAATTGTTCTAGTTGTCAGCGTTTTGTAGTTACGATAGCTCATTTAAAATTTAGATATTTGTCCACTGTTAACTTAATAATGTATTTCTTATTTTTCTTTTAAAAAAGCTCTTTGAATCCATTTAATTGTATAATTTTATCTTAGTGCCAGTAATCCTATGTCATAATTATGACATTAATCCTATTTCATCTTCATGATTTATCAAATGTCAGCTTCATGGCAGAAATCCTATGTCAAATTTATGACATTAATCCTATTTCATCTTCATGATTTAGCATAGGTCAGCTTCATGGCAGTAATCCTATGTCATATTTATGACATTAATCCTATTTCATCTTCATGATTTATCATAAGTCAGCTTCATGGCAGTAATCCTATGTCATATTTATGACATTAATCCTATTCATCTTCATGATTTTGCATATGTCAGCTTCATGGTAGTAATCTTATTTCATATTTATTGACATTAATCCTATTTCATCTTCATGATTTATCATAGGTCAGCTTCATGGCAGTAATCCTATGTCATATTTATGACATTAATCCTATTTCATCTTCATGATTTATCATATGTCAGCTTCATGGCATTAATCTTATTTCATATTTATTGACATTAATCCTATTTCATCTTCATGATTTATCATAGGTCAGCTTCATGGCAGTAATCCTATGTCATATTTATGACATTAATCCTATTTCATCTTCATGATTTATCATAGGTCAGCTTCATGGCAGTAGTTCTATGTCATATTTATGACATTAATCCTATTTCATCTTCATGATTTATCATAGGTCAGCTTCATGGCAGTAATCCTATGTCATATTTATGACATTAATCCTATTTCATCTTCATGATTTATCATAGGTCAGCTTCTTAGCAGTAACAACATGTCAGTTTCATGTCAGTTATCATATATCATTTTCATGGCAATAATCCTTCGTCATCTCTCTGAAATTAATTATATGTCATCTTTATGACAGCAGTTCTATGTCATTTTCATGGTAGTAATTCTATACCATCTTTGTGACAGTAATTTTATGAAATTTTTAGTCAGAAATTATTTGTTATCTTCTTCTTCTATATCTTAAGGGCCCACGATCAATTTATTGATCATTTTGGCTCCTATGCATGTAGATGGAATTTGCAATGTTTCTGTTACTGGTGTTGATGAGGAAATCATGCACTAGGGGTTTGAAGGCTGGAGGCAATAGACACAAATGTGTCTAGTGTTGTCGCCTCAACCGTTCCTTTTGAAAGATGGTTCATGACAGTAATTCTATATCATCCTCATAGCAGCTATTAGCTTTCCTTCTCGTTTATTTACTTTGTTTGGAGCGAGCCAATTAACAAAACTATTTTTTAAAAGCCATTGGGGAATGAATGCAATGCCTACATAATAATATATTCGGGCATTAACATTTTTTTCATCATCGTCAAAATAGTCCATGGAGGGATCTAGTCCGTTTCACAAAATCCACACGTCTCCATAACATCGTGTCTACCTCATCCGTATCTTATTAATATGTTTGCAAATAATCCGCAGCTAGATCAATTTTTTTCTCAACATCGTCCATATCTACCTGGTCCGTATCTGCATCAACCATCTTTACATAATATTTCATCTCTACAACGTCCATCTCTACATCCTCCAGGTCGTATCGCCAATCTCCTCATCAAGCACATGCACATCGTCCATATAGACATCGTCCATCTCTAAGTGATCCATCTCTACATAGTCCATCTCTAAATAATCCGTTTCTACATCGTCCATCTCTAAGTAATCCGTCTCTACATCGTACATCTCTAAATAATCCTTCTCTACATCGTCCATCTCTAAATAATCATTCTCTACATCGTCCATCTCTAAGTAATCCGTCTCTACATCGTCCATCTCTAAATAATCCGTCTCTACATCGTCCATCTCTAAATAATCCTTCTCTACATCGTCCATCTCTAAGTAATCCGTCTCTACATCGTCCATCTCTAAGTAATCCGTCTCTACATCGTCCATCTCTAAATAATCCGTTTCTACATCGTCCATCTCTAAATAATCCGTCTCTACATCGTCCATCTCTAAATAATCCATCTCTACATCGTCCATCTCTAAATAATCCATCTCTACATCGTCAATCTCTAAATAATCCATCTCCACATCGTCCATCTCTAAATAATCCGTCTCTACATCGTCCATCTCTAAGTGATCCGTCTCTACATCGTCCATCTCTAAATAATCCGTCTCTACATCGTCCATCTCTAAATAATCCGTCTCTACATCGTCCATCTCTAAATAATCCGTCTCTACATCGTCCATCTCTAAATAATCCGTCTCTACATCGTCCATCTCTAAATAATCCGTCTCTACATCGTCCATCTCTAAGTAATCCGTCTCTACATCGTCCATCTCTAAATAATCCGTCTCTACATCGTCCATCTCTAAATAATCCGTCTCTACATCGTCCATCTCTAAATAATCCGTCTCTACATCGTCCATCTCTAAATAATCCGTCTCTACATCGTCCATCTCTAAATAATCCGTCTCTACATCGTCCATCTCTAAGTAATCCGTCTCTACATCGTCCATCTCTAAATAATCCGTCTCTACATCGTCCATCTCTAAATAATCTGTCTCTACATCGTCCATCTCTTAATAATCCGTTTCTACATCTTCCATCTCTAAATAATCCGTCTCTACATCGTCCATCTCTAAATAATCCGTTTCTACATCGTCCATCTCTAAATAATCCGTCTCTACATCGTCCATCTCTAAATAATCCGTCTCTACATCGTCCATCTCTAAGTGATCCGTCTCTACAACGTCCATCTCTAAATAATCCATCTCTACATCGTCCATCTCTAAATAATCCGTCTCTACATCGTCCATCTCTAAATAATCCGTCTCTACATCGTCCATCTCTAAATAATCCGTCTCTACATCGTCCATCTCTAAATAGTCCGTCTCTACATCGTCCATCTCTAAATAATCCTTCTCTACATCGTCCATCTCTAATTAATCCATCTCTACATCGTCCATATCTAAGTAATCCATCTCTACATCGTCCATCTCTAAATAATCCGTCTCTACATCGTCCATCTCTAAATTGTCCATTTCTGTATCGTCGATCTCAACATCGTCCATCTCCACATAACACTTCTCTACAACATCCGTATCCAAATCAACTTTCAACTGCGCCCGCCCCTACATAATCTATACTTACGTCATACGGATTCACATAAATCGTCCAGACATAATCCGTCTCTACATAGTGAGTCTCTAAATCATCCATCTCTATATCATCCATTTCTACACCATCCCTCTCCATATCATCCATTTCTACATCATCCATCTCCATATCATCCATTTCTACACCATTCATCTTTAGATCCATTTCTACACCAATCTTCTTTATATCATCCATTTCTACAAAATTCATCTTTATATCAACCATTTTTACATCATCCATCTCCATATCATCAATTTCTGCATCATCCATCTCCATATCATCCATATCTACACCATTCATCTTTATATCCATTTCTACACCATTCATCTTTATATAATCCATTTCTACCCAATTCGTCTTTATATCAACCATTTTTACATCATCCATCTCCATATCATCAATTTCTACACCATTCATCTTTATATCCATTTCTACACCATTCATCTTTATATCATCCATTCCTACATAATTCATCCTTATTTCATTCATTTCTACATCATTCTTTTTTATATCATCCATTTCTACACCATTCGTCTTTATATCATCCATTTCTAATCCATTCGTCTTTATATCATCCATTTTTACATCATTCGTCTTTATATCTTTCATTTCTCCATTATTCGTCTTTATATAATCTATTTCTACACCATTCGTCTTTATATCATCCATTTCTACATCATTCGTTTTTATATCCCCCATTTCTACACCATTCATCTTTATATCATCTATTTGTACATCATTGGTCTTTATATCATCCATTTCTAGAAAATTCGTCTTTATATCATCCATTTCTACTTCATTCATCTTTATATCATCCATTTCTACACCATTCATCTTTATATCATCCATTCCTACTTAATTTGTCATATCATTCATATCTACATCATTTGTCTTGATATAATCCATTTCTACACCATTCATCTTTATATCATCCATTTCTGCATCATTCTTCTTTATTTTATCCATTTCTTCACCATTCGTCTTTATATCATCCATTTCTACATCATTCATCTTTATATAATCCATTTTTAAATCATTCATCTTTATATCATTCATTTCTACATCATTCGTCTTTATATAATGTATTTCTACACCATTCATCGTTATATCATCCATTTCTATATCATTCTTCTTTATATCATCCATTTCTACAAAATTCGTCTTTATATCATCCATTTCTACACCATTCGTCTTTATATTATTCATTTCTACACCATTCGTCTTTATATCATCCATTTTTACATCATTCGTCTTTATATTATCCTTTTTTACATCATTCGTCTTTAAATCATCCATTTCTACACCATTCATCTTTATATCACCCATTTCTACAAAATTCGTCTTTATATCATCCTTTTTTACATCATTCGTCTTTAAATCATCCATTTCTACACCATTCGTCTTTATATTATCCTTTTTTACATCATTCGTCTTTAAATCATCCATTTCTACATCATTCGTCTTTATATCATGCACTTCTACACCATTCGTCTTTATATCATCATTTTTACATCATTCTTCTTTAAATCATCCATTTCTACATCATTCGTCTTTATATCATCCATTTTTACACCATTCGTCTTTATATCATCCATTTTTACATCATTCGTCTTTATATAATTCATTTCTACATCATTCGTCTTTAAAAAATCTGGCTTTCTGGAAAGTTTTCCTGTTCAACGCATCATGCCGTTTGTTAACACATGCAAATACGGTTGAATCTTCTAACAACTGCTAACTTCCTTGATCCGTGCAAACTATTCACCATGTATTGGGAAAGGTATCTTTTGACAATTTTTCTCTCGCACGTTTTGAGAAGAATTTTTTGTCGTTGTTTATATTCCACGCCTCACTTGGAATACTGACGACTCATTCTTATGATAGGGATCAATATGGTTGATTTTGCTTTCCTAGAGATTTCTGCCTGGAGAAGGAAGCATCGTACGCGTTTCCCCATCACTTACCCTTTTCTTCACGTGTTTAGGAAGATGCGTCATCTCGTTCATATTTAACAAGTCCACTTTCTATAACATGAATTTTTTCGACTGTTCCCTGTCCCAAAAGTTCAAGTTTGTTGTTTGAGATTACAACTGTCAATGCTGTTTACTGTCACAAATGTGCGGTTTTGTTGTTTGATACTACCAGTTTCAAGACTGTCTACTGTGACAAACGTGAGATTTTGTTATTTGATATTACCAGTTGCAAGAATTTTTACTGTCACACACGTGCAGTTTTGTCGTTTGATAATGTTAGTTACGAGATTGTTTACTGTCACAAATGTTTGGCATTTGTTAATTTTATATCGCCCGTTGCAAGACTCATTACCTTCTTCGCTTTATTTACCCTTGATTTTAACCGAGGCTACTTCGAGTCCATTAATATTGTTGCTATTTTGACCAAGCACATCTATGTCAATTGCATGTGCCAGGTTCTTATCTTGTTGGTTTTGTTAGGTTCCTTTGGGTGGCGGTTCCATAAAGTTTATGTTGAAATGGCTTGTGATCATCTACTGGTGGGGGTTCAGTTGTGAAGTGTATCATTGGCGTATTTTTTTCTAATGTGACGTTTCATTCAACTACTGAAATGGTCTTTATGTTTACAATATTTCGATGCAGTTGGCGCCATTTATAATATCTTCCCGATTGATTAAAAATGGGTACTTCTGCATCAAAATTCAATGTTCTTCTTATTGGGAAAACCGGAAGTGGAAAGAGTTCTTCGGGAAATTCCATCGTTGGTGAAAAAGTGTTTGGATCATTCAGCGGAACTACGTCCAACACACGGCGGGTGAAATCTTGCAACAAACATAGATGGGAAAAGGACATAACTGTGGTTGATACTCCAGGGCTTATGGAGACTTCGATGGACGAACTTGAACAATGCTATTTCGCGAGGAGGGTAATGGAAGACGCGTTCAAAGCAACAGAAACAGGATTTCATGCAATTTTAATTGTAATGAATTATATTGAGAATTATTCCGACGAAGAGAAAAGAGTAATATCCATGTTAACAGAGATTTTTGGAAGAGCTTTTTTAAATTTTACAGTTCTAATATTTACACATGGCGACAATTTTGACACAGCCAAAGGTGTTGGAGTAGACCCTGTAAAAAGTCAAGAACAGTTTTTGAAATGGTGCGAAGATTTAAGGGGTGATCTTAAAACCTTACTTCAGCAGTGTAAATCTAGAGCAGTTTTATTTCATAATAACTCTGATTACAAGGGAGACAGGGATATTGAATTACAAGCTTTATTTAAACATGGCGAGTCTATTAAAAGGTCAAAGAAGGAATACACAAGATGGTATTTTGCTGACTCTCGAAGGACCAGAGAGCAATTGGTGTTGACGACATGTCTGGAAGCGCTGAAAACAAAAATAAATTCAGAGTTACAAACGCTTAAGCACGACTTTGAGCTGATGAAAAACCAGCAGAATTGTGTTTTAGAAAGAGCGAATGAAGCATTGGAGACACTCTCAAGTAACCGTGAACCAGCATTTCCTAATTCAGGTGAAGTTTATGGAGCAGTCAACCAATTAAAAGAGACATTCAAGGATGACCTTACCAACGGTGCCAAGTCAGAGATTTTGAAACAGCTGCAGATCATCATTGACTGTCCAAGCCTTCATAAACTGAAGCTACTGAGTCAAGACATTGAAACACTTCTGAGTCCGGAGAAACACAAATTTCAGTTAAGGAGAAGAATAAACGAACTTTTGCAGCACATCAAAGAGGAAGCCCATGGCACTGACAAGCTGGCATTTGAGGAAGATAGAGTGAAATTCTTTCTATCTGAGGTTGTGTCCTTCGACCTCAAGACTACGACAACCACCGAGATATGCAACTAAGTGAGTAACAAATTACGTTATAGGGTAGAGGGTCCACTAGAAATGAAAGTGGCCACCTAGAAATTATATCTGTTAAACAAACATGATAAAAAGTAAAATATAAAATTTTAAATATAAACCCTTCTCTTATTTTGGAATTTTTATCCTTTCCAGTGTGTCACAAGACTGATAACGAACCCTGTCACTAGACTGAGCATGAATCAAGACTCATTTGATAACACGACGCTACGTTAAACATTTCAAGAGCCCCTGTGTATAGCTAGGAGATGTCTCGTGCAGATGACAAACTGTTTAAGATCTTAAAGTTTACTGTCATTTAGGAGACATATTTTACTTTTGTATTTCCTGAGTATTGTAAGTAAAATAGAAATGGATTTGATGGATGTTACGTCGTGGTCAAAGTTAGTGTCTCAACCATGTTTTCTGTGTAACGATATAGTAGAGTTTTAGAATAAACCATGTTTTCTGTGTAACGATATAGTAGAGCTTTAGAATAAACTGCGTCATGACAATAGACACGTTTACATCTAGACACGAACACATCTGGACAACAAGACATTTATGCATGAAGAAATCTAGACAACAAGATATCTAGACTAGAAGACATCTAGACAAAGGTAATCTAGACAAAAAGATATCTAGATTATAAGTCACCTAGTCAAGAAGGCACCTAGACAAGATGCCATCTACACAAGAAGGCATCTAAACAATAAGGCATCTAGACAATAAGGCATCTAGACAATAATACATGGATGCAAGAAGACATCTAGACAATCAGACATGTAGAAAAGAAGACAAGATAACAATATATCTAGACAACATACATCTAGTCTATAAGGAATCTAGACAAGAAGACATCTACTAAAGAAGATATATAGACAAGAAGATATCTAGACAACAAGACATTTATACCAGAAGGCTTCTAGACAATAAGACATTTAAACGACAGGACTTGTAGACAATAAGACATCTAGACAAAAAGACGTCTAATCACGATTTCTTCTGATTGATTAAAATAAAATGTATATTCTTTCAGCAGATCCAACTTTTATTTGTTTCAGCTTTTATAATCCATTATAAGTAACACACAAAAAAAACAACAAAAAAAACAACAAAAAAAAAACAAATAAATACAATGATGATGTAAGTTTTTTTTTGTTCATATACAATTTGTTATATGTTATAAAATAAGTTGTTGGAATGATAATGTAATGCAAAATAATTTTTTTCTTTAAAATTGTTCTAACAATGCTAATGGTATTTGTTATCTGCACAATTAACCTTTGATTAGAAAATAATAATCAAATCAAATCAATGTATTTTACGCAGGTTACATATTTTTAAAATGTATATTTTAATGTTTAAGCTACTTTATTATTTTATTGTTCACGGTGTAGTTACTATTCTAGTGTCTCTGGTTTTTTCCTTTTTAATTTACTTTAGAAGTTTATTGTTTACATATTTTCAATAATTGTAAAGTGCTTAAAGCTGTAAGGCAAGCGCTATAAAAAATGCCTAAATAAATAAATAAATATTGCGGAATTTACTTTTAAAAATTAACTATTGAATAGTATGCATAATTTGCTGATTCCCTTTTTTTTTAAAAAAAAAGAAAGAAAAATTGACAACGTCGGCTGCGTACTAGAAGCTTTAACCGCCCCCCCCCCCCCCCCCNGAACTTGTGTTTTGCTGTAAGAGCATTTACCGGCTGAAGCTGAAATCAATAGAACTTGTGTTTTGCTGTAAGAGCATTTACCGGCTGAAGCTGAAATCAATAGAACTTGTGTTTTGCTGTAAGAGCATTTACCGGCTGAAGCTGAAATCAATAGAACTTGTGTTTTGCTGTAAGAGCATTTACCGGCTGAAGCTGAAATCAATAGAACTTGTGTTTTGCTGTAAGAGCATTTACCGGCTGAAGCTGAAATCAATAGAACTTGTGTTTTGCTGTAAGAGCATTTACCGGCTGAAGCTGAAATCAATAAAACTTGTGTTTTGCTGTAAGAGCATTAACCGGCTGAAGCTGAAATCAATTCAACCGATGCTAAATTTTCTAGAAATTAAATAAAGCAAAATAATAAATTAAAACACATCATTTTTCATAATTGCTAATACAATATGCTGAAAAAATACTTAATTTTTCCATGGTCAGCTTTCAACAGAGCACAATGCAACCATTTTATTTAAAGATTTAAAAAAAAAAAAAATCTTAACGGGCATATTTATAAATTATAAAAGAAGTGCGTCTTGAAAGAATTAGAAATCCTGATTCAACACAGTATTCACTACAGGATGGAGGATACCAAAGTGAGTACCGGGTCACACTAGTGTGTACCGGGTCACACTAGTGTGTCGTCTGTGGTGTGTGTGTGTCGCAAAATTCAAAATGGAAATCTATGAGTGTTTTCTAAGGCGTCAACAACATGCTTAAATAAAGCCACACGCCACATTAAAAACTGACTTCACCTCTGACAACTCCAAGAGCAGTTACATCGGTGTAACACAGTTCAATATCAGCAATCATTCTTCCCAACGAACAAAAATAGCTTGGAATCAACAAGACAATGCCGCCGTAGACTCGACATCAATGGATAGTTTCAAGGCTGCCCTGGCACATAATAATAATAATAAGACGTCTTATATAGCCCCGTACCCCAGCCAAGGGCTGGGCTCACCACGCTGTACATAAAAATTTTATCAAAAGAGACATAATCATGACATTAAAATAAAATACATTTATGAAATGTAATAAAGAACAGCAATGTATATTCACCCACCCCACCACATAACTTTTACAAGGCAAACCAAGGACGGCAGCCAGCAAGATCGTTTATCGGTCAGAGGAGGGGAATCACTCAGGGTAGTATAATTTAAAAAGATATGTTTTGAGTGCAGTTTTGAAGGCCGGTGTGTTTGGTATATTGCGTATGTTTAGTTGCAAAGAATTTCATTGTTTGGCGGCGCAGAAAGAGAAAGATCGTTCACCATATGTTTTAGTGTGTGTCTTGGGAATGGACAGAATACGCGTGTGTGCAGAGGAGCAACGCTGTCGAAGGGGTGAATAGAAAGAAGTTTGGTTAGATAGGAAGGGCAGGAATCCAAGAAAAAGTTGTAACAGAGTTGTACAAGTTGTAACTTGTAGTCAATGCGTACCTGTATAGGTAGCCAATGAAGAGCATGGAGAAGTGGAGTGACGTGATCACGTTTTTTTGCCTTGAAACTAGCCTAGCAGCTGAGTTTTGAACTTTCTGCAGTTTTTCTATGCAGTGTTTTGGTGAACCTGACAGAAGAGAGTTGCAATAGTCAAGACGAGAGAGAACAAGAGAACAGACTAGAGTTTTTGAAGCGCTAATTGTGAGGTAGTGGCGTATGGAGCTGATCTGACGGATTGTGGTGTATGCTGAACGACAAGTGTGAGACATGTGTTTATCGAGAGACACATTGTTAGAAAGAATATAATCAAGATTTCTAGCAGAGGGTGTAAACCGTACGTCAGAATTAACTACTTGAAATGAGGTAGGAAGAATTGAGGTAGAGGATGATGTGTGATTGTGGATGAGGAGTGCTTCCATTTTGTCATCATTGCATCAATAATACTACATGTTATTTAAATCTATTTTAAATTAGCGTGATATGATATATTGATATCTTCTTTAAAAATGTAACCACATTTTTTCTTTTGTTTTCTACAAAGTATTGGAAAATCGTAAAACAAAGAACTCTTTTTCTAAAGAACACTTTCTTAACTGTTTCTTTTCGTTTTTTTAAAAATAAAATCTTAACCCATCCCTATTATTCAAACTTTAATTTTCACGTGTGTAAAATGATTGGATTTTGATATTCATAGGAATACTTATGTACACGTACACATGTGTTTGTCAACACCATTTATTTTCTTATTTGGCCAACATACGTTAAAAAGAGTATGTAATATCTCTATTTCACACTTGTAATATCATTGGATTTAAAAATATTGTCATTCACGTAAAAAAGTCCCCTATTTCCTACCCCCAATACGTATGTATGAAAGAGGGTTAATTATTTATAAAATTCGTTCCTTTATACTGGGCGTGTCGTATGCTGCCTGGGGAAAAATGAAAGTATCGTATTTTAGCCCGCTATGTACGTAAAACGCACATGTTTCTGCTTTTTTATATTGCTTGTTCTTATTTGGATGGCTGAAAGGTGCATTCGTTTTTGGCTATCGAGTTTTCCTGCACTGAATGACTTAAACGGCATTTTCTTATTAAAATTATTTTAAAATGTTAATTTTTGCATTGCTTTATAAATTTGATGACAGTATATTTTTGGAATGAATAAAGAGTAAAAATTTTATTAAATGTTAAAATAAAGATCTAAAATGTTTTGTGTTTTATTAACACTTTAAAAATGATATCTATAATTTTACTTTAAGAAGGGAAAATACATTATTAGTTTTGTCACACGCGGTCATTTTATTAACGAAACTTAGAGCTTTGCCTATATGCCTATGACGTCATTTTCGTATTTATTTAGAACAAAGTAATTTTAATTTTAGTTCGCAATATTAAGAACGCAAAAAAACGCACTAAAACAGCAGATGTTTGGGTTTTCCCGATCAATATGTTTGTAATATATAATAATAATATTAAAAAATGTACACAAATAAAAGCAAAATTATAATTTCTTTTTGAGCATTTCAATTTATTTGATTTTCGTAAAAAAATTAGAACAAGACCTATCGTTATTTTTAAGAATCCCAAAGTATTTAAATAGCTTCGTTTCTTTTTCAGTTGAGCGCATTTTTATATATATTACGTTTCTAGTTTGACTGCTAGTTTGATTTCTTCCGCTCCAGATCCTATCCTGAAACTACTCTGGTCTCAGCACTAGATCGCATCAGCACGATCACACGAAAAGAGGCTTTTAAAACTCGCCCTAACAACAATGAGGATCGTACCAAACTTATACTAACCTACCACCCTCACAATTTAACTGCCAAAAAAATATTCCTAAAAAATCGTAGCATACTTCTTGCTGACCCTGATACCAACAGGGTTTTCTCATCCCCTCCACTGATTGTCTTTAGACGGGACAGAAATCTAGGTGACCTTCTGGTTCATAGTCGCCTTCGATCTGAACCGTCTTACGTTGGTACTAAACCATGCTTAAGAGGCCGCTGCAGAACTTGTCCCTTTACACTCCAAACTGATAGCATTGGCCTCCCTAAAGGTACTTTTACCATTAAGGAGGGTTTCACCTGTGTCAGCAGAAATGTAATATATGCGATTGTTTGCCGTAGATGCCAATCAAGTTACATAGGGGAAACTGGGAGAAGATTGGCTGATAGGTTTACTGAACATCTAAGGGATATTGAGCAATGTAAACCTTCCCCGGTCTCTTCTCATTTCAACCAAAAAGAACATAAAGGTGCTTTGGATGTAACCATTACGGCATTGATTTCATGCAGTAACACACCAGATAGGGTTAAAATGGAAAATAAATTTATTCAGCTGTTTGGCACCATATCTCCATATGGTATTAATCAAATAATATCCTACTGATGTTTCTCCGTCTCCCTATATTTCATCTATTTTCTTATTGCTGTTTGTTGATGTATCCCTTGATATTCTGGCCCATTATTATTGTGGACTTTATTTTTCACGGTGTCAATATTTATTTTCTCTCGCTTCCTGTTTTCCCACTTCCGGAGAGACGAATGAATACTGCTTGAGTTTTCTACTGTGTTCTTTTCTTTGTTGTATTTTCATTTCTATTGTTGGCTGATGAAGGCTTTATGCCGAAACGTCCTTGTTTTTTGTCCTGTTACCTTTTTTCAAGCTTCCACATACCTCGTTTCACTATTTCATTCTAGTTTGACTCGCAGATTGCTTCCATTTCTGAGCATCCTTATTCAGCATATTTGGTATTGAGAGTATATTACATTTAATTCTGTAAGTTTGAAAGAAAGTATGGTTGAATAATGAGTTCAATAGCGCGAAAATATAATTTCCGATAACTACGCTAAATAATATATTTTGTTTGAATAACGCAACTGCCTTCGGTGCGTAATATTTTATTTCCGGAAAATTAAATCCTCTCAATTTAAGTATGGTGTAAAAATATACGTTTTAAAAGTGGTTGTAGCATCAGAATATGTAATATAGTTCTTGTGCGTGAAATAAAAAGTATGCGGTGACGTATCAAGGAGTATGGCAAAAATTAGGATTTTAAATGTGCGTTACTTGAGTTCATGTTTTGCCAATTAACTTTAGTAGATGGGAAGTTCACGCATTGCTGTCGCCGATGTTTGGGGGCTATATCTAGCAAGTATACTAATATCTAAAATATACATGATAAATAAAAATATCTTCCGGTTTGCAAAAATATGTCTGACTTGACGATTTGTGTGCGTACCTAAATTGATGAAAAACGGGAAAGATTCGGATATCAGAATTATTATTTAAAACTCAATACGCGAAACTAAGTTTTCTTTTCGGCAAATCCTGAGACACAGTTAGGGCCAATTTGTACTGACAATCGTCCTTCCCTTGTATCCACTGACTGCGTGTAGAGTGGGGATCTGCTGCATGTGGCAACTGCTAGTGTTCATAAAAACTTAGCACACTCTAGGTACCTGCACTAATGACGACACTTTATGGAGAGCAAACATTTTTTTTTTTGTAACGAAAGAAAATTTCGCACGAAACAAAGCAATTAAAACAAAATGAGCTTTACGGGAGGCCAAATTTAATCAGTGGTCAATGTTAGAGAAGTTCACAAAGTTCAGCCAAAACCACCTTTTCTGGATCGACCCGGTTAAACCATTTGATGAAGTGTCAATAACTACTCCATCTTCTCGGTAAGAAAAGAAGAATGCCATTTATATGATATATCACAATTCGTTTCTATATTTATTGATATATTTAGATAAAAATGACTATACATATTTTAGCGCTTCATAATTTACAAGGAAATACTTACGGATCATTAATTTTGTCCCGTTCAGTTAACGGGTCCAAAAAATTTTTTCTCATAAAAGAGCTTTAAAAATAAACTAAAATTCTAGGCTAAGTATAAATTAAAAATTTGCATAAACGAACTTGAAAATCTATATTACAAAATATTCAACAACGTTGATGGATAGGACGCCGTATATTTCGCGTCTTTTATAACTGATTTTAATGAGAACACATCTAAATTTTAAATGTACTAGTCATCTGAAGAAAAGCTAAAGGGCCCCTATCTTAAGGCTAGTTGAAACTTTCAACTTACAGAAAAGGGTCCGGTAAGAGTATAATAAGATATCCGCACAACGCTGTTGTCTGTGTAACTGCTAACTTGTCCTTCTCCATTCTTTTTATTCACTCACGCCAGTTTTCAAACCAATCTTCACACATTTAAGTTTAAATTTCATGGAAAAAAAACAAACAAAAAACAACTCACCAGGTCCATGCAAACAACATGACAACAACACAGGGCAATCAGGTCTCGTAGTTCAATCATTACACACTACAACAATAGTCGTCAGTCACTCCTACTGTCACAGCATCTGTAACATGCAAGGCTTGTTAAAACCTCGATAGAATAACATTACATTAAATTAACATCTTTCCAAAACTTGCTAAAAATGTGTCTAAAATTCGGGTTTACATTTAGAAAAGAACCTCAAAAACAATTTAAGCAAAGCCGAAAGCCTGCCTAAATATACAGCGAGGTATAAAAAGTTGTACATGTATGTTGAAAGTTTTAATAAATTAAGACTACATTTCTAAATTAAAAAAAACAAAAATATGCTAAAACAACATTTTATAACTGCCTTCCATCACACTAAAATAAAATATTTGATCTATTTAGGCAATATGAGATTATTAGACCTATTATCCCCCGGCTGGCAATTTCACGACATTAAATAAAGTCAAAACTGCATACATAACACGATTAAAGGCCATTGGTGTAATAAGGGTTGTGCAGAGGGTAGGGAGCAGGGTGGGGCTAGTGCCCAGGGCAACTTTTTTTTTCTAAATAATGATGGGCATTTCCGCTCAACTCCAATTTTTTTTTTTTTTTTTAAATTTTGGATGCGAAGTGGCGGCGAAAATCTTGACCTGCCCCTCCCGGTTTGTACCCAAACTACGACGCTCTCAGTTGCATATCATCCAAGAAATATTCCTGCTGACTTGGTTTATCTTGCTATGTGTAACACTACTGTGCTTCATTTTTTTCTAGGAAAAAATCCGTAACTGCAAGGGTCACTTTATTTTGAGCGGGTTGTGTCCATGATGAAACCAAATTTTTATTTAATTAATTTAAATATTGCTATGCCCGCCATTAAGCCCTAAAGTAAAATAAAAAGACACAAACAGTTAGTGTAACCATTCAAGTATTGTTATGCTCAAATTATGATCATAATACAATGTTAGGATGTTTAGCGCTTCAGAAGGGAAATTACAACGCAGATGGTTTAGTTTAATTATATTTTAATGATGAAAATTAAATTCGAAGTTAAATTTCATTTTTCGTATTAATTTGGTTCCCGAACGAAGATTGGCTAGAAGAATTTAGGGGACAACGTGATAATGTTAGACTTGGCAGTGTATACAGAGGCGTAGCCAGAGTGTTTGGCACCCGGGGACAAGATTCATTTTAAAGCGTCCCCTTTTGTTTTGTTTTTTCAACTCTCAAACCCATCATTTTCATCAATAAAATAATAATATCAAAGCCCATTTTGGCGCCCCTAACTAGCTGGCGCCCGGGGACATATGCCCTCTGCCGACCCCCCTTCGCTACGTCTCTGAGTGTATAGGCACAAAATAAGTTTTAATGGATAAAGTTAGGAAATTTTTCCGTTCATCAGTTTATCAGTTTTTGATTTATGATGAGAAATTGCTAACGGATTTGTTATCATTCAAACTTTGCCAAAGTTTTAATGTGAAAACTTCAATTCAAATGTTTTGCTCAAAAAACAAAAAACAAAAAACAACAAAGAACACACACAAAAATCCGCCAAAAATACTTGAAAAAGAAATATTAGTTTTTGATAAGTTCTGCTTTTAAAATCTCTAAAAAAATGTATTTTTTTTAAATTTCAAAGAAATAAAATGATGCTGTCACATTATTATTTGAAAATAAAAGATCTACAAGTAAATTAATCATAGGAGAATGATGTTTCCAGTTAATTTTCTTTTTGAAATATACCTTACCTAATCAGAATGTTTCACAACTGTAGTTGATATAATGAAAAAAAGTTCTTTAATTTTTATTGCAACTATTGTTTTAAATGATAGTATAAGAAAATAGAAAGCTTACAAAATTTATTTAATTGTCATACCATTAAAATGAGCAAACTATTAGATAGATAGATTGATAGACATAAGAACTGATGGATGGATGGATAGATAGATAGATAGATAGATAGATAGATAGATAGATAGATAGATAGATAGATAGATAGATAGATAGATAGATAGATAGATAGATAGATAGATAGATAGATAGATAGATAGAT